AACTGCACCTGGCCTTGGTACATCTGGACACTAACGCGATGCCTGGGACCTCAATCCACACCCAAATTGCACCTGGCCTTGGTACCTCTAGACACTAACGCGATGCCTGGGACCTGAGTCCACATCCAAACTGCACCTGGCCTCGGCCTCTCTGCCTGCTTTTCAGACCTTTCCCAGATCGCGAGCAGCGTACCCACTCTCCGACTACTATCCGGCATGGAGCTGGCCACAGAGTCCTCACCTGCTGTCCCTGCAACCGCGGGGTGGCGCCCAGCCCTCCGCTCTAGAGCCAGATGCCTCAGAGCTCCCCTGGCGTCCGCTGCGCGCCGCGCGCCTCCACGCGAATGAACCGCTGCTGCCCGCCTTCTTGTTGGCTGCATCCCCGCCCCACGTCCGCCCCGTGCGGGGCCCGGCAGAGCCCGGCCCGGCAAGAAAGCCTTAATTGGTAAAATCGCCCTGGAGCCGGGGGCGGGGAGGGGATGCGGGGGCGCGCCACAAGCTCAAGTGCCCTGGCTGACTGGCGACGCCATCCCCCAGAATGAGCTCACTGCTCCGTGAGGGCCACCAGGCTTCCAGGGAGGGAGGGTCTGCAAAACCTGTGTTTAGGCCCAACCTTTAGTAGGCTAGATGAGTATAGGGGAGCCAAGTGCTTACTGGCTGGAAAGGAGGCCCTGCTCCAAGGTTAGTTATTCTGGGGAATTGCCCACAGTCACAGCCTTCTGCCTCTGCCCAAGCCTGGTTTGGCCACACAGATCAGGTCTTGTTCCATGGGAAGAGATGCTACAGGTAATTGTAGCGAGCACCAACCATTCCTAAGTCCCCAATAGGTCCCTGAGCATTGTAATGAACAAGCCCTTGTAGCTATCGTTGATTTGGTTCCTGCTAGGTGCAGCTGTTGCCTGTGAGCAAACAGCAAAAATACATTGAATTCTCAAAGCAATCAGGTGAAGTCTTGAAGCCTGGGGGTGTGCAGTGTGGTACAAAGTGCCAAATATCTGTGAAGTTGTGGACACAGCCATTACCTAACATTGTCAAGCTCTCTCTTCCTGTTCTATGTGCCCATTTCCTGGTAGTTTCAGATACAACTCAAATGTCATTTCCTACAGAAAGGACACATAAAGCAATGCCATTTTAACATTTTGTGAATCATTTTACCTGCAACTCCAATATGAGCTGCATTTGCATCATGCTAGTGTGCACATACACAGAAAATTGAAAGAGATATTGAAAATGAGATTTTCCTTTTCTGGTGTGTGTGTGTGTGTGTGTGTGTGTGTGTGTGTGTGTGTGTGTGTGTAGACTAGGTCTCACTCTGTAGTTCAGGCTGATCTGGAAATCACTATGTAGCACCCAGACTGGGCTTTGAAGTGGCAATCCCTATTTCTGCCTCCCAAATGCTGGAATGACAGGCCAATTTAATGTTTTCCTACTCTGTATTATTCAAAGGTGAAGGTGGTACATGCTATATTGTAAGATAAAAGGGAGGAAGGAAAAGGTAGAAGGGAGAAAAGAAGACAAGGGGAGGAAGGAAAAGAATATGAAAGAACAGTGAGGGGGAGTTTGATCACATATGCAGAGTCAATTCAGTAATCTATAGTCTAACTTGAAAAGCAAAGTGCTGGGGCCTCCTCCAGGAACTATGCATCCAGTGCTACCTTTGTTGGCTCCACTTGCAATGACATTTCACATTCTGGCTTCCCAATAGGATCAAGGTCTCTCACTGTTCTGTCCAGCTGGAGACCTCTGCTAGGGAAGGCAATGGATTATTGTCATTTGCTAAATTAGTGGCTTGATTTCAAGTTCATGAGGTGGCTGCACTAGAGTGCATGGACATGATTGTCTTTCCAGAGGATAAATCCACAGGCATGGCAATCAGATCAATGAGTAGGCAGATGGAAGGAGCATGGGGGAGGTACTAACTATGAGCTGCATTTCAAAGACACCCCCCCACAAACTGAATTTGAACTCTCTTTACTGCCAATCCCAATGCATACACATTCAAAAAACACAAGAAGAAAGGGTCTCCAATTTCTTTCAGCTATCAACTATGAAGATTAGTTAACACAAGACTAAATGTTCCTTGCTAAAAAGCATTAATAAGCTCAAAACATTTTCTTACTGGTTGTTGTGGCACACGCCTTTAATTCCAGCACTTGGGAGGCAGAGTCAGGTGGATCTCTGTGAGTTCAAGACCAGCCTGGTCTACAGAGTGAGTTCCAGGACAGCCTCCAAAACAATACAGAGAAACCCTGTCTCAAAAAAACAAATAGAATTTTCTACTTGTGTTGAATGAATGTTTTCATGTAGAGTTTTCCTTAAAACAGGGGAGGGGTGTTTCTGGACTGAATTGAGAATTTAATGCATGCCAGTCAAATACTCTACCACCGATATAATTACATCCCAAGCTTCCACTATGTTACCCAGGTGGCCTTGAATTTACTTTGTAGCTCATGCAGGCCTTGAACTTTAAGTTTTCCTAGCTCAAAATCCTAAATGCTGATTTCTTTTTCTTACAATGGGTCACATACAGCTGAGCGGTGGTGGCACACTCCTTTAATTCCAGCACTGAGGGGGGCGGGGCAGGCAGATCTCTGTGAGTTCGAGGACAGCCTGGTCTACAAAGCTACACAGAGAAACCCTTTCTCAAAAAAAAAAAAAACAAAGAAATAAAAAAGAATGGGTCACTTCCAAGATTTTTTCCCCAAATAGCCACACCTGTCAATACCTACTTCCTCCCAGGAAGAACTTCTCAGAGACACACAGAATGCCCTGCATACATCCTTCTGGCATCTCTGACAAAACCATGCCTGAGGTATTAGGCCAGTTTTTTGCAGCACCTAGGCGACCAGGTACTTCCTGGGGAGATTATTTCCATGAATCACTCAACTTGGGGCTATTGTAAAAGCCTCTTTAGACTCTGGGATCTTGATTCTCTTGCTGAATGGTAGAGAAGGGAGTTAAACTGCAATGGAGCTAGACTTAAATTCCAGTTTTGTACAAGAAAAGCACAGTTCAGCTTCCTGATAATATCTGTGATAGGATTTTATAGTGGAGTACTGAGGGGATTAAGAGGCAGCATGCTGAGGCAGGTGCAGAGGGTGCTCCTTAGGGAAAAGGCAAACCTAAAATTCCTTGACCTCATAAGGAAGCAGCTTGATTCTGTAGGGAGGGGGGGCATAGGGTAGTACTGAGCAATCACTCTGTATGCAGAGGCCTCTGGGAGAAGGGCCAGCATAGGGGGAGGGAAATGCTGGGAAATCTGATTTTGCCAAAACTAAAAAAAAAAATCATGAAGCAGCCTCTGAATTAGCAGAATGTTTCTTTCTGCTCTATCCTGTCTCTCATTTACACACTCATGCCCAAGGTTCTCCTGTCTTTTCATAAGACAGTCTATTTTCCTAGGATTCATATAGCTCCATTTCCAGGGACAGAGGAGGGCACTGTCTTTTAAATCCATTCAGCAGCAACTCTTCTTCATTAATGACTTTTTATGTGGTCAAAACAGGGCTCCTTCAGGGCTGGAGAGATGGCTCAGTGGTTAAGTGTACTTGACTGCTCTTCCAGAGGTTCTAAGTTCAATTCCCAGCAACCATATGGTGGTTCACAACCATCTGTAATGATATCAGATTCCTTCTAGTGTGCATGAAAACAGAACACTCATATACATGAAACATGAATGAATAAATAAATCTTAAAAAAACAGGGCTCCTTCTCCTCATCATTGCCTACTTTAAGCAACCATAAAGAATTGGCCTGTGGCCTTCACCTAAGTGCCACCAGGTCAGTCTAGAACTGACCAGAACACTCACTATCACTATCATTTAAGACAGTGTTTCTCAACCTGTGGGTTTTGACCCCTTTGACAAACTTCTATCTCTAATAATATTTACATTAAGATTCATAACCATAGAAAAATAATAGTTGTAAAATAGCAACGAAAATAGTTTTATGGTTGGGGGTCACCACAACATGAGGAACTGTATTTAAGGGTCACAGCATTAGGAAGGGTGAGAACCACTGCTTTAAGAGATCAGGTTTTCCATGCACCTGTTCTGCATGTTCCCCTCCTTCTAGGTCTGTCCAATAAGGGGCAGCCTACCTAGTCCCAAATGACTTTGTGTAGAATAATACATGGTCACTATTGGAGATGACCTTAGATACAGATCCACTGTAAGCCTCAGTTTATTCCCAAAGTTTGCCTCTAGGTTGTGCACCCGGATGGCCTCCAAGGTCACACCAAGTTTAATGGTTATTATACTCTGCCAGACGAGAACTCCAGAACTCTTCAGGGCCCCAGGTGGATGGAAGTGTGAGTCAGGCAGGCACAAGGTGTACCCATCTATACGCTATATCCCAAGGCAGGCGCCCTCTGATTATGCCCACTGGCATGCCCTGGGGCCTTTGGAAGGCTTCTTGGTCCTGGAGTGCTGGCAGCCTCCCTGGCCCAGTTGCTTGCCCCATTTCCTACCAGATGGAGCTAGGAGGCAGGCCAGGGCCACGGAGACTTCGAAGACCAGAGAAGATGGGTGGGGTGGGCCAGGAGTCTGGGGGTGGCTACTTAGGTGATGAGAGTCCTGAATCGCAGCTGTTTCTTGACACTAGCGCGCACAAAGGGCTCGCAGCAGTACCAGGCTCTCTAGAAGGGTTCGCTCTCAGGATTGGACTCTTCGCATTGCTGTGGACCAGATGGCATCTTAGATTCCCTAGTTAGCTAGAGCACTGGGGAATAAAATCAGAGTGAAGCCAGTGGCAAAGAGATCCCACAGGCTCCCAACCACAGACCTGGTGGTTTTCGCCAGTTGAGAAGGAGCCTTTCACGCCCCTCTACCACATCTGGCTCTAACAAACCCTCTGCTAACGTCTACTTAACCCGGCTAGTCTAGTTTGCTACCACTCCAGCTCTCCTGCAGGCCCCTCCCTCTTCCTGTTCTAGCCAATCCCACAAAAGTGTGACGTTTCCGTTCTCCAGCCCCGCCTGTTCCCACCACCAGACCGGTCTGTACCGGCTATTCTGGCGGGTTTGAGCCTGCCTTCAGGAGCACGCGCAGCCGTGGCTGTGACGCAAACGTTACAGAGGCGTGACGCGACCGCGGCAGCTCCTGAGGCACTGGGGCTTCCTCTGTGGCGCTAGGAGCTGTCCGTTTCCTGGGCTGTGTCCATAGGCCCGGGCCACTCCTTAAATTCAACACCGCTTCCCGGTGCCAGCCGCGTCTGCCATGGACGACTATGCTGTTTTATCCGACACTGAGCTCGCCGCCGTGCTACGCCAGTACAACATCCCTCATGGGCCTATCGTGGGTACGCGGCAGCCTGTGGCGCGCAGAACCTCTCCTGGGCCCCGCTTTCCCGCGCTCCTCCCTGAGTGTTCTCCCCCACCTCCTTGTCCCTTCCCCGTGTTCCCCGGCGCACTCGGGGTGCCCAGGTCGCACCCCCTGACCGCCTCGCACCCTGTATCTGACCAGGGTCCACTCGCAAGCTCTACGAAAAGAAAATCTTCGAGTACGAGACCCAGCGACGAAGGTTGTCGCCCCCCAACTCGTCATCCTCTTCATTCTCTTACAGGTTCTCAGGTGAGGCCCCCGCTGCAGAGCCCGCCTGAGCTGCTTGGGGACACACGGCTTGGGGAGGGAGGATGTGGCTGAAGCAATTCAGGGAATAGAGGGATGCTTAATGCGCTCTACCTCCCCCTTAATGTAGACTTGGATTCAGCCTCCGTGGACTCAGATATGTACGATCTACCTAAAAAAGAGGATGCCTTACTTTACCAGAGCAAGGGTAAGACAGATGTGGGGTGGGTACTGATATCTTTATCAGAGAATTTGAGCACAGGGAAACCTCAGACTTCACCCCAGTTCTCAGTGGCTCTAGAGTGGAGAGACTGGCACAGTGCACGCACAGAATTTGGGGTCATGAGGTCACTTTCTCCTCTACCACTATTTTATTTCCCAAGACTATAACGACGACTACTATGAGGAGAGTTACTTAACCACCAAGACATATGGGGAGCCCGAGTCTGTGGGTATGTCCAAGAGCTTCCGTCAGCCGGGGACTTCACTTGCAAATACCCACACTTTCCATCACCAGGTGAGTTGGCTGACAGCATACCTGGGTGTAGTCTAAGAGGATCCTAACTGGGTCTGGGTAAGTCCAAGGAGATATTAGGTGCAGAGAGTAGTCCTTAGGTATTCAAATACGGTCGGCATACAGCTTTTGGGTCAGAGTTGTACTTTGGAGCCTCGAAAACTGAAGATTTCATTACTTTACCAGGCAGTGGTGGCATATGCCTTTAATCCATCACTGGAGAGACAGAGGTAGTCAGAACTCTATTGTCTCGAAGCCAGCATGGTCTACAGAGTGAGCTCCATGACAGCCAGAGCTATAAAGAGAAACCCTGTCTCAAAAAGAAACAAAAAATTAATGTATGCTTATGTTTCTGAGGTAGTATGCATGAGTGTTGGTGTGTATTTTCTTTTAATCTTTAAAAAATAAAATAAGACGGGCACCTTTAATCCCAGCACTCGGGAGGCATAGGCAAGCAAATCTGTGAGTTCGAGACCAGCCTGGTCTACAGACTGAGTTCCAGGACAGCCTCCAAAACAATACACAGAAACCCTGTCTCGAAAAACCAAAAGAAAAAAAGAAATACCAGAAACCCAAAATAAAGTTGCATGACATTTTAAAAAGTTCGTTTGTCCTATCATCTCTCTTTTCTTAATACAAATTTTATTCTGTAGCTGGAGCTATAGGTGGTTATAAACTCCCTCGTGCTGAGTGCTAGACATTGAACTCAAGTACCCAGCCCATCTATCCAGCCCACAAACTGTTTTGATCAGAGCACATGTAGTATTCCCTGCACTCTAGTCTGGGATCTAGGTTTAAGCTTTCTGAGAATACTGGGGAATAAAAGGATGCTGGGATAGAATTGACATGAATAGTCACTGAGTGGCATGGGCCTATAGGTAAAAAGGAGGGAGGGGGCAATGGTCTGGCCTCTAGGGTATGATTAGAGTAGGCTGGTCAGAGACATTTTTGGTAAACCACCCTTCCCCTAGTTCCTAACCCCTGCTGTCCTGCAGGTGCGTGATGATATTTTCTCTTCTTCAGAAGAGGAGGGCAAGGATAGGTGAGTAGTGAACACACTTAGGGACAGGGACAGGTTTGGGCCTCAGGCACTCCTGCCCACCTGTTTCCTTCTTTTGCCACAGGGGACACCCCATCTATGGCCGAGACAGTGCCTACCAGAGCATCGCACACTACCGTCCCATTTCCAATGTCTCCAGAAGCTCCCTGGGCTTATCCTATTATCCATCATCCTCCACCTCTTCTGTGTCCTCCTCTTCATCTTGTCCCTCTTCATGGCTTACCCGACGTGCCATCAGGCCAGAAAAGCAAGCTCCTGTTGCTGCTCTCGGCCAGGATCACCAGGTCCCACTCTGGGGCCAGCTATTGCTCTTCCTTGTCTTTGCTGCCTTTCTGCTCTTTGTTTACTACTCCATACAAGCTGAAGAAGGCAACCCTTTCTGGATGGATCCCTGAGGATATTGGTTTCAGAGCAGCAATTAATGGGAGTTTTGGCTGATTGCCTTACCAGTGTTTGCTGTGGGTAGGGTGGGTGAGGGCTTTTTATGTGTTCTAGTTAAGGGGTTTAGGACCTAGCCTAGGGCAGTGCTTATCTCCCACCATCTCCTGCCAAGAAGGCAGCACATGCTGGCCTTCCACAGTCCAGTGGACCCATATGTACCTTCCTCTGGAGCCTCCTAGCCCTATTGCTTATGACCCTTAGGGCTCCAGGTGATAATACCCCACTTCTTTAGAGGAAAACTTGGTGGAGGCTATGGTAGTTGTCATGCATGCCTGTTGTCACCTTTTTAGGGTGTATTAACCAAAAGCCACCCTGGCTTTGTTTTTGTGGACACAATAAAACACACATTTATTTTTACTTTGTTGGCTTGGGTCTCAAAAATCACTGACTTTTACCTTTGGTTGTACATTTTAGTTTGGTCTTAGAGAAGGAATCAAATGTTATCCAAAGATAAGTCTGTGTTTTGGTTGTGGGTTTTATTTCTGGGCTAACTCCCTGAAGCACTTATAGCTACTTGCAAAAATAATTACCATGAAACCAAATGTGCCCATGGGAAATTCAGGCAAAACTGTATGTATGGTGACACATACAGGCATTTTAGCCAGGAGAGGCTCTTGCCAACATGTGAGGTTACAAGGTTAGAAAAGAAATGAGTCATCTTGCCAGTGGATTTTTGCTCAACTCCTGGGATTGATAGTTATTTGATAGCATGGGAATAGATAGAAAAACTGCAGTGTTCCCGTGAGTATCCTAATTCTTTGCGAGTTTATTCTTGCTTAGTTTACAGGTTTTCTGTCCTGGGTACATATTACGTAATATAAAAAAGTTTTTATCCAGGCATAGTGGTATGCACGTTTAATTCCAGTATTTGGGAGCCAGAGACAGGAGGATATCTTTAAATTCGAGGATACCTTGATCTAAATATCACAGTTCCAGGGCAGTATCTCAAAACGAAAATTTTAAAAATCAAAGCCTGGACTGCAGAGATAATGTCGTAGTGGTTAAGAGGACTGCTTGTTCTTCCAAAGGACCTAGGTTCAATTCTCAGCACCCACATGGTGGTTCACAAACTGTCTGTGGCTCCAGTTCTAAGGGAGCTGATGCCCTCTTGTGACTTCTGTGGGCACAAGATATACATGTTATATGAAGACAGATGAAGGCAAAGTTACACATGTAACTTTTTTTAGTCTTTAAAAAATAAAAAATGGGGGGCTGGAGAGATGGCTCAGAGGCTAAGAGCACTGGCTGCTCTTCCAGAGGTCCTGAGTTGAATTCCCAGCAATCTATAATGAGATCTGGTACCCTCTCTGGCATGCAGAAATACATGTAGGCAGAACACTATGTACGTAACTGATAGATAGGTAGGTAGGTAGGTAGGTAGGTAGGTAGGTAGGTAGGTAGATAGATAGATAGATAGATAGATAGATAGATAGATAGATAGAAACTTAAAAATAAATAAATAATGGTCTGGAGAAATGGCTCAGTGGTTAAGAGCACTGAATGCTCTTCCAGAGTATCCGGGTTCAATTTCCAGCACCCACATAGAAGCTCACAACTGTGTAATTCCAGTTCCAGGGGACACAACACCCATGGCAAAACACCAAAAGTACATTTGTCTGTCATCTTTTTTGTTTGTTTGTTTGTAGGCTATCCTGGAACTCGCTCTGTAGACCAGCCTGGCCTCGAACTCACAGAGATCCGCCTGCCTCTGCCTCCCGAGTGCTGGGATTAAAGGGGTGCGTTCCAGGACAGCCTCCAAAGCTACAGAGAAACCCTGTCTCAGAAAACGAAAAGAAAAAAAAAGAAAGGTAGACAAGGTGGCTCAGTGGGTAAAGGTGCTTTCAGTGAAAGCCTGAAAACCTCAGTAAACGCACACAATAAAATTTAAATTTAAAAATCTTGCCAGGGATGTAGTTCAACCTTTAATCTAAGAACTCTGAAGGCAGAGGCAGGTAAATCTCTCTCAGATCAAAACCAGTCTGTCCTACAGAGTGTTCCAGGACAGCCAGGGATATAAGGAGAAACTATGTCTTAGAAAAAAAATCCAGAGTATAATGTCACATACTGTCTTGCATGCCTGGCTGCATGACGCAAGCATGGAAAAAAGGTACATTGGCAGGCACACATTCCCCATAGGCAGTAGGAAGTAGAAGTACAGCCAAGGGTGGGGCCATGGCTTTAGTTCTTGCCTGGCTTGTTCCTTGCTACAGGTAGTGGGAATTAGCCCAGCTTCTCATCTGGTATAGCAAGCACACAGTATTTATTTATACATGCATCCTGGGCTCCTGAACACTCAGATTCTTGGCTGTCTTGGGCAAAAGGATGAGCCCTCACTACCTGTTCCTGGCCATTTCTACATTTGTGTGCGTGTAATCCTGAAAATAATAATACATGGAGGGCTGGACAGATGGCTCAGTAGTTAAGAACACTTGCTGCTCTTGCAGAGGACTCAGGTTTATATTTCTCAGCACCCACATGGCAGCTCACAACAGATTATAAGTCCAGTTTCAGGGAATCCAGCTCTTCTGGCTGCTTTCAGCACCAGGAATGCATGTGGTACACAGACAGACAGGAAGTCAAACCATTCTTAGCCATAATTGTTTTGTTTTGTTTTTCAAGACAGGGTTTCATTGGGTAGCTTTGTAGGCCAGGCTGGCCTTGAACTCACAGAGATCCACCTGCCTCTGCCTCTTGAATGATGGGATTAAAGGTGTGCACCACCACCGCCTGGCATCTTCCTAGCCATAATTTTTAAATAAAAAATACTATATGAGGATGGCTCAGTATATAAAGGTAGTTGTCACCAATCCTAATAATGAGAACTCCTGCAAGTTGTCCTCTGATCTCCACATAAAAGCCATGACACAAGTGTGTCCATAGAAATATATATATATAAATAATATACTTTTTAGCCAGGCAGTGGTGTGGAGGGAGAGGCAGGCAGATCTCTGAGTTTGAGGTTATAGGACAGCCAGGGCTACACAGAGAAACCTGTCTGAAAAAAAAATATATATATAGACACACAGACACTCTTCAGGCACCAGTCATGATATATATTCAGGCAAACATTTATGCACATAAAAATTAAAATAATAAAAAGGGTTCCTGGGGACTCTGAGGCTTCTCTAAGGCTCTCTAGCAACCTTCCTGGGCACCTCTCAGATTCCTGAGGTCTCTCATTTTGGTTTGGTCCTCAATCTCCAAGGCTCTGAGGTTCCAACTCCATGCTTCACTGAGTCTTAAGAGTTGTGGTGGGGCTGGAGAGATGGCTCAGCGGCTAAGAGCACCGACTGTTCTTCCAGAGGTCCTGAGTTCAATTCCCAGCAACCACATGGTGACTCACAACCACCTTGAATGAGATCTGGTACCCTCTGCTGGCCTATAGGCAGAAGGCTGTATACACAATAAGTAAATAAAAAAATATAAAAAAAAAGAGTTGTGGTGTCTCAGAAAAGCTCAGACAAGAACTAAATGTTGTGCCACAGGCTTGTGATGACTCAATAGACCTCCAAGTGAAATAAAGGCTGCCAACTCTGTAGAGCTCCAGAACCCACTCTCAAAGACTTAAGGGGCAACTATGATTCCCACCCCTATAAGTTTCCAAGGGTTCAGAGTTACCAGTAGTCAAGATTTCTGAGGGATCTAGGACTCTACTCCTCAACCCTAGGGCTCCAGTAGCCAATGGAGACAGCTGAGTGTAGTTGCTCAAAGACTGTGTCAGACACCAATCAGTCTCCCAATTCTCTCTATGACCATGAAAATACAGCCTGTGGAAGTACAATGTGCACAGTCACCATGATTGTGTGCTAGGCCCTGATGACCAGGGAAGAGCCTAAGATCTGGGGGTACATAGCAGAATCGACAGTGTGGGAAGAGGTCACAGAAGGCCTGTGCCCTATAGGGCAAGGCAATCACAGTGTACATCTGATGGAGCTAACATATAGGAGGGGCCTAGCCAAAGAGTTCTTGTGCCTGACGTCCATATGACAAACACAGAATCTACACTAGGGGGGCACTGCAGGGCAATTACCATCTGGCATATGTTAGTTTCTTTTTCGTTTGGTTTTGTTTTGTTTTTTCAACACAGGGTTTCTCTGTATTGTTTTGGAGGCTGTCCTGGAACTGGCTCTGTAGACCAGGCTGGCCTCGAACTCAGAGATCCGCCTGCCTCTGCCTCCCTAGTACTAGGATTAAAGGTGTGCGCCACCACTGCTTGACTGTTAATTTCTTTTAGATAGGGTCTTATGAACCTAAGTTGGCCTCAAACTCATTGTATAGCTAAGAATGATCTAGAACTCCTAATCTTCCTGCTTCAACTTTTCAAGTACTTTGTGTCTGCTAAGCAAGTACTGTAGAAACTGGGCCACATCCCCAGTTGCCACCATCTCCTGAAAAGAACCCAATGGTTGACAGACAATGGAACACTTAAGAAAGGACAAAAATAGCCGGGCATTGGTGGTGCACACCTTTAAGCCCAGCACTCACGAGGAAGAGTCAGGCTGAGTTTGAGGTCAGCCTAGTCTACAGAGTGTGTTCCAGGACAGCCTCCAAAACAATACGGAGAAACCCTGTCTTGAAAAACCAAAAAAAAAAAAAAAAGACAAAAATGGGAGTGGATCATCACTTTTTACTTTCTTTTTGTGCTGGATCCAAACTTTTTTTTGTTTTTGTTTTTTTGAGACAGGGTTTCTCTGTATTGTTTTGGAGGCTGTCCTGGAACTCGCTCTGTAGATCAGGCTGGCCTTAAACTCAGATATCCACCTGCCTCTGCCTCCTGGGTGCTGGGATTAAAGGTGTGTGCCACCAACGCCCGGCTTGGATCCCGGCTTTCTACACCTAGTATTGACATGCTTTATGGTCTGAGGATAGCTGTTCACAGACCACTGCCCAAGGGACAGGCAGACACAACTAGATAAGGTCCTTCCTTTGGTCCATTGGTGGTATTGTTGAAAATCCAGGATAGAGAGGAGGGCCCAACACTCTGGAAATCTCAAGAAGGTGCCCACCTGGACAGGGGTTTTCTTCTTCCTTTTGCCTTCAAGACAGGGTTTCCTGGAACTTGCTCTGTAGACCAGACTGGCCATGAACTCACAGAGATCCACCTGCCCCTGCCTCTGCCTCCCAGCCACCTGGAGAGGGGGGAAAGTATCAAAGTCAAGTCCAAGGAGGTACAGCACTAACAGAGGGGGATGAGACAGCTTCCCCCCCTACATTGCTTGGACTCTGCATCCTAGGTCAACCTCTGCCCCCTAATCACCCAGAGCCTCTTACCCAGTCCTGGCACCAGTTCTGCCTACACAGGCCCACCTTCACATTCTTCTCTCTCAAGCCAAGACCTAGCAAAGTCATTCAGGGGA